TACTATTACTCATCATTAAATACTCGAATGTCGTAATGGATAGAATTCGAAATGAATTTATTTGAGAGAATTTAAGTGGGATACCAATAGACGATAAGATGAGATAATGTAGACTTTGATTAGTTGGCCATGTGTGACGTCGACCAAGTACAACATCTATTAGGAGGTACGAGTTAGTTCAAGTGAAATGACTGAAAAGGGTAAAAGACAAGCCCAAAAAGACATTGACGGAAGTAGTTCGAAAAGATATGGGAACTTATGACCTCATTGAGTGTATGGTCTTTAATAGAGCATAATAGCGGATCAATATTCATGTAGCCAACCCCAATTAATTAGAAAAAAGGTATGACGATGATGATGATTTGAACCATTGTAACTGTTGATTATACATATGTACGAAAGATTGTAATTGATGAGTTGTTTTGTGACTCTTAAATTCAATAATTAAAGAGTTCTTGTTTTTGGTAAGTTAGTGGGGATGACGAACCCGTGCCTTGATGAGTTATTTTGTGACTATTAAAATCAATAATTAAAGAGTTTTTTTGTTTTTGGTAATTTAGTGGGGATGACGAGCCCTTGCCAATTTTCGGAACGATAACGTCAATAATTAAAGAATTTTCTTTTTTGGTAATTTGGTGGGGATGGCTAACCCTTGCCAATTTTGAAAATCGTTGCTGGTTTTTTAATGAGTCAAGTGATAATAGAAAGCTAGACCTTAACTGGGTCACAAATATTGCTACCACCGTGACCCTAACCCCTTTCCCAATAAATTGGAGACTTAGAACCCTTTATTTACCAAGTGCATTAAAATGGTCACATATCTCTCTTTGTGGACTCAAATTTCTCGGTCACATACATTACCTCAACTTTTTAGTCAGTCTTCTCTCTTTTGCTAACTTTTTTGCTCTAAACAAATTCAATTCTGGTACTATGAGTTATTGTTTTTCTGGTACATTCGAATATGCATGAAGGATCTTAGATCTGTTGTTTATTTGTATCATGTGGATAACTTTATTGGAAGAAAGTTTATACCCATTACATTTATATCAATAAGGGGGCAAAAGTATTGTATCTCAGAAAAAATATATATATTATATTTCAAAAGTTACTTTTGCAACTGAAAATAAATAAATAAATAAAATTGTGGGCACATATAAAATATCCCATCCACTTGTGCTCCGACCATCCCACCTCTCTCCCACAAGTAAGAGAGAGCAACCCTTACTTTATTTGCAAACTATGTATGTGAGGTACTGCCCTTTATATATTTCTATCTCTTGAAATTTAGTTTAATTATAAATTCATAATGCCTGATCTATTCATTTGATTGATAATTAGATGTATTTTTATCATTTCTAAATATTGCATGTGAAATTATTTCTGATTCACAATTTAGGGTAATGTAAAGCAAAAACCAAAAGAATTCCTTAAAAATAATAAGGCCACTCATGAGCTGCTAAATTTGAATCCTCTTTCTTCCCTTTTGTGGGATTCACTCCCATTTGTATGGTAAATTCTGACCGTCAGATCTGATTGGTATAAAGATTGAATGGTGGTTTGATGGTGATGGCTCAAATGAGTGCAAGCCATTATTGGCATCCGTAGTCCCTACCACTTTACCATATGAGCAACGAATAAATTCAAGCATTGCCTTTCACGCATCTACTTACTTTTCATTTCACAATAAACATCAGAGATCATGTGAGCTGTGAGGCTTATGGAATAGTCGTGAGCCGGACCCGGACGGATCCGATTTAAACATTAGACAACCAATGTTTATTGCTAGGGCCAGGGCATTTTTATTTTTTTGTAAATATATTATTTTTATTATATTTTTTGGTGTGTCCAGTTCAAAAAGTGATAAATTTCAAAAGTCACAATGATTTTTAAAAGATTAAACTTCGAAGGTGTCTATACACATTGGAAGATGGATGAGCTAGGATTGAATCTTAACCCTTTGATATGTACTTTCGTAGACCGGGAGGAGTACCAGCTATTTTCCTTAAATTTTATTACATATTATAAATAAAAGGAAAAAGTTCATATAAGGGGAGGTTGTTTCAGTGCCAAAAAAATCTTCAAGTCGATCATCTCGATCTCAAGATGCATGAAGGTGAGAAAATATGGATTTCAAGTATTGGAAATAGATGGTCAATTTCAAGCATTTGTAGATGGTCAATTTTTAAGATTATCAAGTATTTATAGATCTACTTCTTTGCCAAAAAAAAAAAAGGTTTATAGATCAGCTCAATCTATACTATTTTTTAAGCTTTAAAGTTTATAATTAGATATAAAAATATATTTTCAGATCATCACAAAGATTTCTAGTACTGAAATAACATCTTTCGATACTATTTGAAGTTGCATCTTATTTTGATTGTTTAGAGCCTCAACCTTATACAAACCACACCCTAGACAAAATAAGGAATTCTTCGAGGAACGGTTGAGATAGCTCCATGGGTCGGCGTAAACGGGATCTCCCTCCTTCCTTGCAAGACCCTATGAATATATAGAAAAGTCAAAATATTGTATGACTGTCTGATTGTTCCCCTGGATAAAATCCAATGTAGGATTAATTCTAGGATCTCAAATTTCGAGGATATAATATTGCCAACCCACGAATAACCTCAAAACCAAAAAATGCCAAATCCCAAAATGACACTCTTTATGCACTTTGAAGAAAATAATGTCTCAATATCCAATTGAGGCCATCCAATTTTTTAGGACAATATCTAAGTGTTAGAAAATATACAAATTAAAATTTTTTCTTTTGAAAATAATCATCTAGTGAATCTTAAGTACTTCTCAAAATTTTAGATTAAAAAAAAAAAAAAAACCTCCAAAGTGGTTTTCTGCCTGAGGGAGTAGATAGACAGTGTGCTCCGAACGGATCAGAGTAATACACACCCATTAAAAATGGTCCTCTAATCTTCATGAGTGTGAAGCAGTCATGCCTAGCACGTATAACAAACCGGATAGAAAATAAGGAGCATTAAAATACATTAACAGCAAACTAAAAATAGGAGCGAGGAATGTGCTCGTTTTGGAGCCACTTCCAAAATCTTACAACTTATGAAGCCCCATCCATCTCCCTCTTCTCTCTCTCTAAAATCCCACACCTTTGACGTGAACTTTCCCAATCCATTTATTTATATATTTCTTTGCAGGACTTTTTTTATAAATAAGGGTTAGGCAACCTAAAAGAGGACAACGTCTCCAATGGGATTGAATATTGTACCTCTTCCCCCATAAATAATAAATATGTTTACTAACGAACACTATTTTTTATTACTTTAATATCATTTTACATCTCCCTTTCTCTCTCTCTTTCAAACATCATTTGGAAATAGGTTATATAGAGCCTGACTCTTTAAAGAGTCAAATTGGAGTGCACATCAAAAATTTCATTAGAAGAGGTTGTTTCGATATCTAAGTATCATCAAATTCATCATCTCGACATCAAGACATGATAAAAAAAAATTTAAAGTTTTGGAGACTAGTTGGTCGATTTTCAAAATTGTGAAGTTTTCATAAATCAGCTCGATCTACACTATTTTAAAAAGTTTAAATTTTTATAATTACAGATAAAACTATATTTTAAAATTATAACAAAGATTTTCAATATTAAAACCACATTCCTAAAGAGTATATGAAGGTGCACTCTAAAAGCTCGGCCCTATACAAACAGGACCCGGATCATTTTGCATCTCCCAACTTTCTCTGTCATGGATTTCCGACAGTGGGTGGAGGAGGTGGTGGCTTGCAGTTGTTTTAGTTGGAGAGTGGTGGGCCCACTTCGGTAGTTTCCCCGTCACTTACTTAACAAATAACGCATAAAATAAAATAAAAATACACAAAATATTATATTCTAAGTCGTTTCTTTATTGTGATGGTGACTTATGGGCGTAGTTATTCAAGAAGGAAGAGTAATGCATAAGACACTTTCTCTCTCTTCACTTTCAATGTGATGACGACTTTTGTAGAGAGAGAGAGAGAGAGGTCCCATTTGATTGGCCACTGGGAGTCGGGCTTTATCACCAAGGGGGTCCTTTTTGCCTTTTCTTTGGAATATCTCTGTAGGTTTAAAAAATTGAGAAGGAAAGGTGGTTTTATTTTTCTATGCTTTTTTAATTATTTTTTTGAGAATATTAAAGTGGGTGGAGAGAATGTGGGTGCGGCCTGCCTTGTTCAGGAATTTAACTGCATCGTGGGAGATACGAGGTCGCGGGATCCCTGACCTAGAGAGGGAAAGGAAGAGAGAGGAGCTATCTCGATATTTTCATTTTCCACAAGGTCAGTTCGGTCATTTTCCCTCGATTTAGCCAATGGAAAAGCTGGAATCGTATCTCACGAATATCGCGCGCTCATCGGACGGCTAGATGCACTCCGCGTGGCGGAGAATCCGGATTTTCTTAAATTCATTAGATCTGAACCGTCTGTTTTTAGTGAAGGAAGATACCCTCGAGTTGTGATCAAAACAAGCCGTCTTCGTTTGTTGGTATAGGGTAACCAGGGGTAGAATGGTCATAAGAGGGGAAAGCGGGGTTTCGAACGGTCGGGCGTATTCACGATATTATGGGATAGAGGAGGGGTATATGTGGTTCTCTCATTTTTACCCAAAACAAATTGGAGCGAAATTAAATTCGTTTCAGCACTCAGAGATGAGCCGCAGCTTATCCGGCCAGGACGATCGGACGGAAGAAGATACCCCGGCGCTCACGAGCCTCGATCTCCGCCGTCCATATCGGAGAGGCACGGAAAGGTATGCCTATGTGACATGTCACACGCCACGTCATCCATTCCCGAATAAGAAGGGCGACGCGACATTTGGTGGACACGTGTAAGGGATGACCACGTTTGAAATCAACGGTCATGATGCAATAAATTATCACAATCTGGACCGTTAGATATGGAACATGACGTATGATGTTCCACCCCGCTTTGTATCTGCCATGTTGAATGCTTTCTCAGGTGTCACAACAAATAACTACCAAGGAAATGGATAACAAGAGAGAGAAACGCAGGGGAACTTCTAGAGAGAGAGAGAGAGAGAGGAACCCACCTCACCCACTCCGGCCTTAAAAACCAAGCCTTGTGCACCAAACCGAGCTCATTTGAGCCATAAGTGGGCTCCAAGGGAAAGCTTTTTCAGAGACGAAGAAGGCCCCTTTTATTTCCCTGATTCTTTTCCCCGTAGAAAAAGGGCCAGATCTCCATTTTCGCCCTATTTTCTTGTTTTTCGAGATATTTTTTGGATTTGGTTTGGTTTAATAGAATCCGCATATGAATGTCGGAGCCGTTGATTGCCTGTGTAATTTTACATAGTGAATACCGCCGTCGAAAGGGAGGTATTCCGATTATTTAGCAGGAAATTTTTATGTTGTAAATTCCGGCCCTTTTAGCGGAGGTATTTCATGGCCTGAAATTTATCTGATTAAAAGTCCGGCCATTTTCCGAAGAATGATAGCACATTGATTTATACGGGACTGAAAAAACCGTGGCCGGAGAGGAGGGAAGCGTATTTTTCCGGCGACTTAGGTGGTCCTTTGGCGTATGCTAAGGTAGTGACAGGAAAAGCGAGATAGAATAAGACGATAAAGAATATAGAAAAAAGAAGACAAAGCATTTGTATTTGTGTGTGTTTGTAATAATAAAAGTGTTTGAAATGTTTATGCGATAATGAATAAAATAATAAATGAGGGGTAGAATGCGGTTTTTTGGGCTATTTAATCGTAAGCGGCGATCGCGTCTTGAAATTCGTTTCATTTTTCCAGGTCTTTTTAGTAGTTGCAGAACCGGCCGTTGTCGAAAACAGAAGAGAGAGAAGAGAGAGAGAAAGAGAGAGGGACTCAATGCTTGATGGAGAAGAAAGGGGAAGCGAAGAGAAGCAGGTACACTCTAGCGGCCGCAAGACGATCTAAGGCTTCTCCAGCGGTGAAGCTCGTTTCTGGTAAAACACGAAAACTGGTTCTTAAAAACCATGGATTCTCAATTTTCGGTTTTTTCATTTGTTGGTTTTCTTTTATCCATTGTTTTAACTCAGTTGTTAAGTATTTTCAGCATTTTTTTTGATTTTTTTTTGGGTTTTTGTTTACGGTTGGATTGGTTTTTGCAGTGTGTAATGAAGGAGATGGTGGGAGGAGAGAGATTGTATTGAGTAAGAAGAGGAGGTGGGAATCACAGGAGGATAGAGTGGTTGTTGAATACGGAGGAAGAGGACAAAGAGAGGGGGATAATAACAATAGCGATGGTTATGAAACGGTGGGTTCAGAAGAAGAAGATGATGATCTTCCTCCTCCTACTTTTGGGTCCTCCACTTCTTCTGCTACAGTAGCTGGTTATCCATGGAAGATTAAGCTGCAGGGCAAGGTCAAAATCTCTCCATTGAATCTCTCTCTAAAGTATGCTTGACCTCCTGGGAGGTCTAGAATCCAAACCTATGTTGTTTCTCTAAAATGGGTCTACCTAGAAAGCCGATAGTCATCGCTCTCTTGAAATTGTTCTGTTGAGAAAATCAATAATCCTCTCTCTCTCTCTAAAAATGGGACTCTTGAAAATTTCTCTCTCTGTGTTTTAATGGTTTTTCTTTCAGGCATGGGAAGAGGCAAACACGATGGATCGTGCCCCTGTTCCTCGAAAGCTGCGTTCAGGTACGGTAGTATCAGCAACGAGGGCGGCCCCTGTTTTCACGCCGTTTTCCTGTCTTTCTCATTTCTTCGTCTTCTTCTCAAAAAAATCCACCAAAAAAAAATCAGTTTTTTCCTCTTACTCGCAAAATTAAGGAAAAATATATTTTTTTGGCTGTAATTTTTTTTTTTTTTTGCTTTTCTGGTTCATTTTATGGTTTATTGATTTCTTCCATGCGGGTTTTCTCCGCAGCAGAAAAAAGGAATTGGGTCCCTTTCATTTTTACTTTTCTTGTTCATTAAGCCATTTCGTTTATTATTTTTTCACTGTTTAATAACGGTGGTTTCTTCGTTTTGATTTGGAGAACAGCGATGAATAAGCGTAATCGAGAGTCAGTTTCTCCTCCTCTTCCCACTAAGGAACAGAATGGCACGGCGAGTTTGACTTCTCCTACCTGTAATGGAGGTCGAAAATCAAGTCAGAAGCAGGTCTTGTTTTGAAAGAAATAGAGTTCTTTTGAAGGATAATTTTTTTCATTAATTTCCCATATTTGGTTTAGGGAAGTTATTAGTCTCCTAATTTTTGGGTTTTCCTATTTGCAGAAGCAGGGTGGCTCTGTCAAGTGTTCAAGCTCTAAAATCCCCAAAGTATGAGCTCCAAAACCATCATTCCCTTTATGGGTCTTGTTTGTTTCCTACTTTCCTTTTTCTCTTTCTTTCGAATTGCTGATTTTTCTTATTGGGTCGTTTTTTGGTGATTTAGTTCTTATCTGGGTTCTGTTTCTCTGTTTATTGTCTGATTTCCTCTTATTTGGGCTCTATTTCTCTTTTTAGCATATCTGATTTCTTCATCTTATTTGGGTTTATTCTTCTTTTTTTTATCTGATTTCTTCTTATTATTTGAGCTCCTTCTTAATGCCTGAATTTGATTTATCCTTCTCTTTTGGTGGGTTGTTAATGCAGTTATCTATTACAACCACCAAAGTGTCCAAAGCTGAGGAGGAAGTTGCAGAGACATTATATGATCTAGCTAGAATGTTTGCTCATAGGGAGTCTTCTTCTCCTTCACCTTCTCCTTCAGCAAAACCCAGACCTGAACCAGACCTAGATTCAAAGTCGAGTCATTCAGGTAATTTTGGGGATTTTTTTTAGTGTTATTGAATGGGTCAATCTTTTTTTCATTATGAAGTGATACGCCTTTTCTTTCGTGACTCTCTCTCCTCTCTCTTATTCCTTTTTCCTATCTTTTCGCTTTTGGTTTTATACTTAACTTTTACGTTTTCTCTACCTACATTTGTCTTTGTAGGTGGGTTGTCGGTTAGAGATATGAATAATGCTGTAAAAGATATGAGTAATGGTGCTGCTTCACCGGACCCTACTATGCCCCCTTTGCCCCGCCATTCTCTCTCTACAGAGGAAAAAAAGCTACCTGATCAAGATGCGTTGAAAGAGCCAACGGCAAAATCTTCTTTGTCTTCTACCTCCAAAGCACCATTCACAAAAGAAGTATCTCTCACCGAAAGCCATCAAGAGACTAATAATTCCCACAGTGCAGTAAGTGCTTTAGACGAAGGGAATAAACCATGTTTGGTTTCAGATAATTCAAAAGTTCCTTACATGGAGAATGAATCTGAGCAGGTAAGGCTTATACTTTTCCGAAGTTCATTTGGTTTTGAATGGTGTTTTGGGTTTTTTAGTCCCATTAGAGCTCCAACTCTCTCTTTCCCTCAATGGTTTGCATAGCATTGGGTAGATGGTAAATTTTGTTGCTTTTCTTTCCGTTACTTGATGGATCCTGATGATTTCTCCTTTCTTATCTTTCTGGGTAGCTTCCACATGAAAGGATGGAAAAAGAAAGGGGACCGGGTTTGGATTTCTCCCCTACAAAGGAAGAAAAGGAAGAGGTTTTATACCACTTTACCACTTTATGCTCTATGAAACTGGTCTCTTTTCCAAGATTCATTGGAATTTTACTTTATCTTTCTCTTTCTCTCTCTCATGAGGAATTGGTGTCTCTTACTTTCCTCTTTCTCCTCTTTTTGTCAGTTGGGTATTAAAGATGGTCCCAACCATGATGAAGGAAAGGTTCAAGATCAACCCCAAAACTCAGAAAACACTAGAGATAACCAGAAACCTGCCTCTGCCTCAGCTAGTGAAGCACCCACAGGGTCAGGCAATAAAGAAAGAAGCATTGATATTTGGAAGCTGGAAGGTGAAAGCCCCCACTCAGTGTAAATAATTTGGAAGTGATCCTACGCTTTACTGTGATCTTCATTGCTTTAACCATAATGCTGCAGCAGGTGGGGCTACTATTACAGCAGAGCCATCAGTGTCCCTGTCTAGTGCCTCAAAACGGTATTATAATGATTTTGTTTGAATGAATGCTTTGTTTAATTTCATTCGTTATATTGGATACCTAGAGTTGAATGAAAATAAAATCTAAGAGAAGGGTGTTTTCTCCAGTTCTGAGCCCCCATTACAGCCATTAATTGTGCCCCCTGCAAAATTGAACCAAAACCCATCTGCGGTCACTCTTCCAACAGAGAAGGTATCAATAAATGTCACTTCTTCTCTCCATTTTCTCTCTCTCTATACATCTCTCTATCTCTCTCTCTCTCTCTCTCTCTCTATATATATATATATATATATTATATCTTAACCAAAATATCCATTATCTGGATGGACTCTCTTCCATATGCAGCCTCCCCTTTTTTCACCTCAAACAAGGCAGTCATGGAAACGCTGTGCAGCTCATGTGTACATATCACGTCTGATTGATGGGTACCAGAAAATGGAGAACCTATCATGGGCAGTAACAGTGGGTCCCATGAGAGTTCACTTGAATCAATCCAAGTCTTTCACGCAATCCAAGCCACCACCATTGACAAGAAACAACATAAGTGAGCCCTCTGTACAGGGAAACTTTTTGGGAGAGAAATCAAGCTCGATCTCAAATGGTTCAGCTCAGAAGAAGAAGTCAGCAGCCATTGAAGATCTGCAGCCTGCATCTATAGGTGTTTTTGGCCATGGTGAATTGCCCATCTTCAATGGTGGTACCTCTCAGAAACACCAGCAGCTGCAGCTGCAGGTAAGGGCCATTGTAGAAAAATTAGTAGTTTTAGTACGATTCCAAATGAATTTTTATCAATCTGCACTGTGTTATATATTGTTGCACATTTAATTTGCTTCTCTCCTTATAAGTTTGTGAAGCCCCAAATCAATGACTTCTACCGGTCTGCATCATGTCGGTGATTGAAGGCACAATTGACCTTCACATCAGTGGTTGCTTTACAAACGCATTTGCTTCAATGAATGAACACTATTAGTTTTCTGTATATCAGTGACGCTATTAGTTTCTTTCATCGTTTCTTTTCATTATATCAGTGATTGATGCACGTGATGAACATTTACATTTGGATCTTTCTGAATTAGTAAAGCCCCAAATGAATGAATTCTATCCCTCTGCAGAATATGCACTCGCCATCTCTGGCATTCTCATCGAGTACATTGGAGCCGGGCAGCAATGTGTTGGTGAGCGCAAGCATGTTCGCTGGGGATCAGAGGGCAGCCACTAACAGTAGCCACACCACAACCACAACCGCAACAGCGCAACAGCAACAGCAGCAGCAGCAACAGCAACCTCAACCTCAATTTCTCCATTCTCTTGTTCACCATCCAACTCTCCCCTTCTTCCAGAACCCCCATTACTCTTCCCACTATTCCCCTCATTTGGCGCCTCACCAGGTTAGGAAACAAGTGAACTACATCCTCCTTTCTAGAGTATGGGGTTAGGGTCATGGTGGTAGGTACTACCATGCCCCAGTTGAAGGTCACGGTCTCCATCCTCACTATCGCATTAAAAATCTGATTGGTTCTGAAATGGGTAGGGGCTTGTATTCCTTACTAATCTACATAAAAAAAAATTATAATAAAAATCCTAGAAACTCACCATTTTGTCATTGCTTTCTTTATTTTAAACTTTTTTTTTTTTCATAAATATGGTGAACAGAGGATGCCTGTCATTTCTTTGTCACGATCTCTCTTGATTTCCCTCGTTTTTCTGGCAGGGTTCTTGAAAGGAATCGTAACCCACCATTGCTTTTGCTGCTTTTTGTTTTCAATATTGGGTTTCTTTCATGTACATTACCAGTTATGTAAACAATTGAAACAACGCACCATTTTCTTGTGGCATTTTGTTCCAACTTCTTTTCTGGTGTTAGATTTTGTAAACAATGAAAGCCGACCATTTCTTTCACACTGCCCTTCTCTATCTTGAAAGAAAATGAAAACCCACAAGTTTTTTAGTTGATTTTTTTGTTTCCTGGGTTCAGATGCAGCCGCAGTTCATGGAAAAGTTCATGGAAAGCAACACTTTCTATAGCACTTTGGGTACTCCACCACAACCACAACAACAAGCCAACAACAACAGTAACAGCAGCACCACCAGTAGCTCCACCACCACCACCACCACCACCAATTCTACAAAGAAGCCACATCAACACGCACAAATCCTCTTTGGCTTTGAAGGTAGCCACAATCAACAGCAACAAATGTGGCCCCCACCAAACTCCAAGTGGCCCAATGGCGTGTCTTCAGCTGTCTACCAGGCCTTCCCACCTCTTCAGCTATCCCACCACTACCACCCATCAACGGCCCAGCAGCCTCAACATCTCTTCTCCATGGAATCCCAGCCGTCCAAACCCAAACAACTAGTACAACAGCAGCAAAAGCCCTCCTTTTCTTCTTCCTCCTCTTCGACCCTCATGGACCTCAATTGTTGCCCTCAATCCCACTTCTCCGTGATTAGCACGACAAGCCCTAACCCTAATAATCCTAATCTCAATAACCCTAGAAAAAATGAACCTGGATTCGGGTCCTTTCTCTCTCCTAATTCTCCTCATGGCTATGCTACTACATATCAAGCCATATCAGAGCTGGGTCGAGCCCAGGGCCAAGCCCAGATCCCTTTTGCCCATGGACTCCCGCCCACTCTCATGGTTCAGAGCGGTGGTAGTCATCGCCAGCAACCCAAGTAGTTAGTTGCAAACCATCATCTCTATCCTATTTCTCTCTCAAGAAATCAACTCTGCAGAGAAGAGGTGCCGAGCCAGGTCCCTCTCTCTTTGGTGAGAGACCTCTTGGTAGGGGATTAGGCTGGCGAGGGCCGGAGCAGGAGCAGCATGGCCTAGCAATGTCGATGCCAAATCATTCTCTATCTATCTCTAAGTTTGTTTCTCTCTCTCGAAGGCGGCTGGGGATTCAAAAAGCTTATGATGTTAAGAGAGAAATGCAAGGATCCTTGAAGAAGAGTTGTGGAGTTCGAGCCTACTGAAACTTCAAATTTTGACCATCACTCTCGTTGTTGATATTACATGTAGAAAGCTCTCACAAACGTACATTCTTTTCTTACTTTATTGCTGTTATGATTGTTATTGTGATTAATTATTATTATATATACATTGGTAGGAAGTAGTTCCTTTTCATGGATTCTCTATTCCTTTTCCTGTCTCTGTGCCTAATTTTTAATGCTTGCTTTACATTCTTTCAGTTTTTTGTTATGGTTGTGTTCATTTGTTCGCTGAACTTATGACCACCAAACCCTGACAATTTGATATGTATCTTGACAACTTCATCTTTTTGGCTTTTGCTTTGTGCTGCCTGTTGCACATATCTTTCAGTGGTCTTGGAATGCTAATAATGGGGTGGTGTAATAATATATACTCATCTCAGGATTTTGTTTTTCTATTTCCAAACTTGGTGTCCACTTTAAGTATTGTCAGTAAAATAAATTTAGTTTTGGGTGTGGTTTTTATAAGGCTGACCCTCTAAACAATAAAAAAAAGGGTTACCTTGAAATAGTGGCGAAAGATGTTATTTCGGTATCGGAAATTTTTGTGATGACTTGAAAATTTACTTTTATATTTAATTATAAAATTTAAAGTTAAAAAAATAATGTAGAATCACTTGATAATCTTGAAAATTAACGATACAGGTCATGCATAACAAGATATACTATTTTTTAAGATTTGAAATCTATTTTTTTACATGATCATATATCTTGAGGTCGAGATAAGAATTTGTGGTCATCGAAAGAATGTATTTTAGTGAATTTTTGAGGTGCACTATAATTTGATTACTTAGGGCCTCACCTTTAGATAAATTTTTCTTCTATACTTAAATATCCACGCTAAAAGTTTTTTTTTTTTTTTTTTTTTGTAAACAGCATGACTCTCAGGGGGTCTGTATCCAATTACTATTTTGTTTTGGCAATAGAGTGCCATTTGAAAATTTTCATTTTGTAGCCCCACCATATCAAAAATATCTTGTTCCTGCCATTTCAGAAGATCTGGGTCCCAAAGTTATATTCAAAATCGATAAGGGTGGCAATGGACCGGGTTGTCTGGTCCAGTAGGATCGACCCTAAAAATTGTCTCAAGGGGTCGGGACCTTAGGACTAGGGCGAGGACAAGAACTGGGCCGGAGGTCCGGGCCATTGCTTATCGAAGGGTGTGACAAAAGTATGCTACGGGGAAAAAGAAGCAATTGATTAGACATGGAATTATCTTCGCCCGTGATCGTGATCGTGATCGTGAAGTGAAACCTCGGCCGAAAAGAAAAACGAAAGTCAACCATATGGGATTATCATAAACCTAGGGGGTATTCCAGTCATTTTTGGGTCGGCGCGTATGAGGACGAAGTGGCAGCAAGACTGGAGCGGATTTTCTGATGTTTACAAATTTTTTGTCCTCTTTTGTAATTTTTGAGACTCTTTTGTACTTTCGAGCGTTTGTTGTACAAAATTGCTTTTTGATAGGAGCGAGAGTTTCGTAAAGGGTACGCAAGGCCGTGTATATCGGCGGCCGGCCCATAATCCAGACTATACTCATGCTGACTCATAAAAATAAAGTTATTTTTGGAAGGTTTTTACATGTGTCATTTTCTTTTTTTAAAAAAACATTTAATGATTTTTTATCCGCTTCTGATCTCTCTTTACCTGTAACCAAAAATAGCAATACCCTCTCTTTCTCTCTCTAAAACCCCTCTTTATCTCTATCTCTCTCTCTTACTCTCTAACAATACTTGTGTGCGGTCGTTGTGTTTGTACTTTTATCCCCATCTGTTGGACGCATTCAGGGCCCAACCGGTTTCGCTAAAGTATTTAACTCATTCAAAATTACAATTCTAAGCATTAGAAAAAACTTTTATATATTTATGGTTGTGAAAAAAAAAAAAAAAATTAAGCTTTTAAAATACGGTTTATTATCTTTATTTAATTTTTTTTTCAATTAATTAAGATTGGTTACATGAATCATGTTATGTCATTATACTCTATTTAAGGTCATACTTTCAAGGAAGTTACAAGTCTTCATTTCTTTTCGGATTTCTTTCAACCACGTCTTTTTAGGTTCACTTCTTATCATTTTCAATCATTTCATTTGAATTAACTCGCACCTTCTAATAATTACTGTATTTGGTCGACACCACATATAACTAACCCACTTAAGTCTAATTTCTCTCATGTTATCGTCTATTGGTACCATACCTAAACTTTCTTGAATGGAATCTTTTCGAATTCTATCCTTTCTTGTTACTCGTTCATTTCAAACATCCTCAACTCCACTACATTCATTTTATAGGTATTTTTTTTTTGTCCACCAAATATTCTACCCCATGAAATTAAAGTTGGTATCACAGTTATACTGTTGAACTTACACTTCATTAGTATATGGCGGTCGCATAAAATTCCAGTTACAAATCTCCACTCTCACCTAGCTCCAATTCTATTTGTGAGATCTTTCTCAATCTCTCTATTTTTTTTAATTATCGACCCAAGGTATTGAAAGCTCTTAAAATATGGTTATTGTAACAAATTATCTTGACCGTTCATTTTTCTCTAAAAAAAAGATTTATATATCCACTGGTACCATTTATTGAGTTTTGAATTTTATTCATGATAATGGAAATCATTGAGATTTCAGTTGCCGAAAGTGCTTTTTATACAGAGGTGAGGCTTTCTTTTGTTTTCACAAAGCCTTAAATGGGAGGATTAGGTGTTTTGGCCTCATACGAATGCGACCTAATTTACTGCTTATTTTGTAAGTGATGTGGTGGAGGGAGGATTTGATGGCGATTTTAGTTGGTAGTGGGCCTTTAATGCAATGGCTGGCCAAAAAGGTCATTTTGGTCCCAACCAACCCTCTTCAAATTAATGGTCTTAGGATATAGCATCGTTTCCTTCAAGAGTATGGAATTATTAAGTTTAGGCCACTCATGACTTGGACTTATTTTTAAAGGAAAATGGTTTGACAGTGCAATTCAAGATTTCGATAACCTTTACATCGATTATCTCAGCTTGAAGATTAAGTATGTGGAAAAAAATAGGATTACGCTATCCAAAAATAGTGTATAATGTAACAAATTATCGAGAATGTTCATTTGCCCTAAAAATAAGAGCCATCAGATTTTCAATATTTGTACTATTTTTTTAGATACAAATTTTACTGTTGGTGTTGGAAATTGATTTTAGAGCAGATTTTTTGTTGCTCAAAATGCTTTTTGGATTTGAGATGAGGCTTTATTTGTTTCGATAAAGCCTAAGCCTCGTAGAAACTTCATCCATTTTTGAAGGAAAAAGTTTATAAAAACTAGAAGAGGTTTTTTTTTTATGCCCAAATATCCTCAAATTGATCATCTTGACATCAAGATGCATAGACACATAAAAAAACTTATTTCAAGTTTTGGAAATAATGTATTTTGTAATACATTTTTGAATCGTCAATTTTCAAGATTTTCAAATTTTTATAGATCTATCGAATCTACAATATTTTTTAAGCTTTAAACTTTATAAATAAACATAAAAATATATTTTAAGGCTATTACCAAGTTTTTCAGTATTGCACCATATTTGTTGACACTATTTGAAGGTAGGTTCTAATTTCATTGCTTAGAACCTAGGCTCTATACAAACCGCACCCTTTTTTAATCCCTTGTCTATGACCCATGTCCCCATCAATGAGTGAAGACATTTAAAATAACAAATAAAAATAAATAAAATAAACAAGAGACATTAAATTATTGCGATGGTTTACGGCTCTGTCTCTCTCTCTTGATAGTTTTAAAATAAGAGCTGGAGATTGCTGTTATGGCTCCCCTTTCTCTTGATTATCTTAAGAGACGGCATTCTGCCTCCTAATTTAAAACCAGATACACTGATTGACTCCTAATCCTGCATGGAAAAATTAATGAATGCCATAGAAATCGGTCAAAAGCCCTGCCACAACAAATGTAACCTAAAAACTCTGCATCCTCACTTACAAGAAAAGGAAAAATAAAGTTATGCACCATTAGAATATTAGTAGCCCACAGCTTGTGCGGTGAAAATGCACAAGAAAAATACAATTAAAAATGTTATTAACTCAATCTTCTTCAAGGAAGTCCGATAAGTTACATAAGCAATATATTGATTTTCTTCTCGAGCAAAGCACCCACCTTTGTCACGATCAAGGCTAGTAACCCCATCAATCACACAGTTGTCCTTGTGCCTGTAGAAGATTTGGCAGCTACTACAAGTCTTGCTTCCTAACTATTGCAACTCTTGGTTAGGAAAGGGGCTGGGATCGTAGTGATAGCATCCCCATACCCAGTTATCACATCGTGGTAGCCATTCTTACTATTGACACCCCCAATTAACACCTTCAAAATGTAACTCCTCAATCTATTAAAAAAATGGGTAGGGCCCCTATCTTCCCAGGGATTACCCAGAAAAAACTCCACCTTCTTTAGGTGGAACTCTAGGTTGAGGAGTTACTCAGAAGTGCGGGTTTCATAGTCAAGAGTATAATAATTCAATATGTAATACTCCACCTTCCTCAAGTGGAACTCTAGGTTGAGGAGTTACTTGAAATGCTGTCAAGATATTAGTATTTAGGGTTTCATAGTCAAGAGTATAAGTAAGTCAATATGTAATCTCTAACACAAGTCTCTGCTTTACTCTCTGCTTTTGGTGACACAAGTCCCTTCCTACAATTCATGCATTAAGAATTCTTTCAAACACAGGGTCTACTTGTACATATTATATTTAGATAATTCACTTCCTTAATCAAAATAAGAAGGAGAAATTATTTTAATTTTGGACAATGTGTGTGAATTATTCATTCACGTTATTGTTTATTTGTTTAATTCAACGAATATATAT